TAGGGCGTAGGGTCTAGGGGTTGATCATAGGGCGTAGGGCTAGGGGTCGATCATTGGGCGTAGAGGGTCTAGGGGTTGTATCATAGGGCGTCGGGTCTAGGGGTTGATCATAGGCGTAGGGTTAGGGGTTGATCATAGGGCGTAGGGTCTAGGGGTTGATCATAAGGCGTAGGGTTTAGCGGTTGATCATAGGGCGTAGGGTCTGGGGTTGATCATAGGGCGTAGGGTCTAGGGGTTGATCAGGCTAGGTCTATGGGTTGATCATAGTGCGTAGGTCTAGGGGTTGATCATAGGGCGTAGGGTCTAGGGGTTGATTTAGGGCGTAGGGTCTAGGGTTGATCATAGGGCGTAGGGTCTAGGGTTGATCATAGGCGTAGGGTCTAGGGGTTGATCATAGGGCGTAGGGTCTAGGGGTTGATCATAGGGCGTAGGGTCTAGGGTTGATCATGAGGGCTAGGGTCTAGTGGGTTGATCATAGGGCGTAGGGTCTAGGGGTTGTAGGTAGGGGTAGAGGGGTGGATTGGGCGTAGGGTCTAGGTTTGCAAGTGGGTTAGGGTTATTATAGGGCGTAGGGTCTAGGGGTTGATCATAGGGCGTAGGGTTTAGGGGTTGATCATAGGGCGTAGGGTCTAGGGGTTGATTATAGGGCGTAGGGTCTAGGGGTTGATTATAGGGCGTAGGGTCTAGGGGTTGATCATAGGGCGTAGGGTCTAGGGGTTGATCATAGGGCGTAGGGTCTAGGGGTTGATCATAGGGCGTAGGTCTAGGGGTTGATCATAGGGCGTAGGTCTAGGGTTGATCATAGTGCGTAGGGTCTAGGGGTTGATCATAGGGCGTAGGGTCTAGGGGTTGATTATATGGGGTAGGGTTTAGGGGTTGATTATAGGGCGTAGGGTCTAGGGGTTGATCATAGGGTGTAGGGTATAGGGGTTGATCATTGGGTGTAGGGTCTAGGGGTTGATCATAGGGTGTAGGGTCTAGGGGTTGATTATAGGGCGTAGGGTCTAGGGGTTGATTATAGGGCGTAGGGTCTAGGGGTTGATCATAGGGCGTAGGGTCTAGGGGTTGATTATAGGGCGTAGGGGTCTAGGGGTTGATCATAGGGCGTAGGGTCTAGGGGTCCGTTTGGGATTGGGTCATAGTTTGATGCTTTGAGAACTCTGCGGTAAACTCAGTGTAAGACTTTAGGGGTTGACTTTATCAAAAGTAATAAAACAATAATAATAATAATAATAATAATAATACATTTTGCTCAATGGAAATGTTTCCCCTATGATACAGTATATAGGCAAGACAGGAAACAAGACGAATCAGAATACAGGTTATACAGCATCCCTAATGGCACTCTATACCTTATATAGAACCCTGGTCAAACGGAGGACACATTAAAGGGATGTCAAACATAGGACACATTAAAGGGATGTCAAACATAGGACACATTAAAGGGATGTCAAACGGAGGACACATTAAAGGGATGTCAAACGGAGGACACATTAAAGGGATGTCAAAACGTAGGACACATTAAAGGGATGTCAAACGTAGGACACATTAAAGGGATGTCAAACGTAGGACACATTAAAGGGATGTCAAACGTAGGACACATTAAAGGGATGTCAAACGTAGGACACATTAAAGGGATGTCAAACGTAGGACACATTAAAGGGATGTCAAACGTAGGACACATTAAAGGGATGTCAAACGTAGGACACATTAAAGGGATGTCAAACGTAGGACACATTAAAGGGATGTCAAACATAGGACACATTAAAGGGATGTCAAACGTAGGACACATTAAAGGGATGTCAAACATAGGACACATTAAAGGGATGTCAAACGTAGGACACATTAAAGGGATGTCAAACGGAGGACACATTAAAGGGATGTCAAACATAGGACACATTAAAGGGATGTCAAACGTAGGACACATTAAAGGGATGTCAAACGGAGGACACATTAAAGGGATGTCAAACATAGGACACATTAAAGGGATGTCAAACGGAGGACACATTAAAGGGATGTCAAACATAGGACACATTAAAGGGATGTCAAACATAGGACACATTAAAGGGATGTCAAACATAGGACACATTAAAGGGATGTCAAACGTAGGACACATTAAAGGGATGTCAAACGTAGGACACATTAAAGGGATGTCAAACGTAGGACACATTAAAGGGATGTCAAACGTAGGACACATTAAAGGGATGTCAAACATAGGACACATTAAAGGGATGTCAAACGTAGGACACATTAAAGGGATGTCAAACGTAGGACACATTAAAGGGATGTCAAACATAGGACACATTAAAGGGATGTCAAACGTAGTACACATTAAAGGGATGTCAAACGTAGGACACATTAAAGGGATGTCAAACGTAGGACACATTAAAGGGATGTCAAACGTACCTTATATAGAACCCTATGGGCCCTGGTCAAACATAGTACACATTAAAGGGATGTCAAACGTAGGACACATTAAAGGGATGTCAAACATAGGACACATTAAAGGGATGTCAAACATAGGACACCTTAAAGGGATGTCAAACGTACCTTATATAGAACCCTATGGGCCCTGGTCAAACGTAGGACACCTTAAAGGGATGTCAAACGTAGTACACATTAAAGGGATGTCAAACGTAGGACACATTAAAGGGATGTCAAACATAGGACACATTAAAGGGATGTCAAACGTACCTTATATAGAACCCTATGGGCCCTGGTCAAACATAGGACACCTTAAAGGGATGTCAAACGTAGGACACATTAAAGGGATGTCAAACATAGGACACATTAAAGGGATGTCAAACATAGGACACATTAAAGGGATGTCAAACGTAGGACACCTTAAAGGGATGTCAAACGTAGGACACATTAAAGGGATGTCAAACATAGGACACATTAAAGGGATGTCAAACGTAGGACACATTAAAGGGATGTCAAACGTAGGACACATTAAAGGGATGTCAAACATAGGACACATTAAAGGGATGTCAAACATAGGACACATTAAAGGGATGTCAACGTAGGACACCTTAAAGGGATGTCAAACGTAGGACACATTAAAGGGATGTCAAACATAGGACACATTAAAGGGATGTCAAACGTAGGACACATTAAAGGGATGTCAAACGTAGGACACATTAAAGGGATGTCAAACATAGGACACATTAAAGGGATGTCAAACGTAGGACACATTAAAGGGATGTCAAACGTAGGACACATTAAAGGGATGTCAAACGTAGTACACCTTAAAGGGATGTCAAACGGAGGACACCTTAAAGGGATGTCAAACATAGGACACATTAAAGGGATGTCAAACGTAGGACACATTAAAGGGATGTCAAACGTACCTTATATAGAACCCTATGGGCCCTGGTCAAACGTAGTACACATTAAAGGGATGTCAAACATAGGACACATTAAAGGGATGTCAAACATAGGACACATTAAAGGGATGTCAAACATAGGACACATTAAAGGGATGTCAAACGTAGTACACATTAAAGGGATGTCAAACGTAGGACACATTAAAGGGATGCCATTTGGGACACAAGCCCTATTGTTTGTTTCCAGCTGTTTAGTTAGGTAGGTAACACTTTAAATGGACTGGCCCAATTATCACATAAGCATCATATGATCATTCATAATCATTCATAAGGTTGACATAGGAGCTGACATTAGAGTTTATGTCTTGCCGTGAAAACGTTAACGCTAACAGGTATCATAGAACACTCATAAAAGCATGATATGGCTTTATAAAGCTTTATAAAGGCCTCTCAACGTGTCATAAGTGTATTATGAGTGAAATACAGAGGGGTAGCTGTCGTTTAATCATATTTAGTACTTTTTTGCTAGGGTCAGGGGTTAAGGTGCTAGGGTCAGGGGTTAAGGTTTAAATACTGGAGTCAAACACTGCTCGATAGGCCGGCCGTATAAAAAAACGTATTCGTCAAAATAAAGCAAATAAATTAAATCAGCATGTTCTGATTAAAACTCAGGATTATTAAAAACACAGCCCAATTATTAATCAATTACAGGCACATCATTTTTTTCCCGTGCTTTATAATATAACATACAATAACACAAACTAACCAGAGGATCCACATTAATATCAAAACCATTCATAGGTTGCACCTCTGTCACCCGGTCACGTCATGCCATTGTTATGAACGTTCTCAAACTGCCCTAGAGTGGTGATGAGCCCAGCCATTCCGGACTAAAAGCTAACTACTGTTTCGTCTAAATTACACTATAGTGCCTGGAAACACAAAGACATTGCTAAAGCAGTCAAATATTTAGTAAGAAAAACAACTTTGCCAGCATTATCATGTCATCAAATTTACTTTAGACAGATGGCATGTGGCGGCGCACAATTGGCCCAGCGTCGTCCAGGGTAGGGGAGGGAATGGCTGGCAGGGATGTAGCTCAGTTGGTAGAGCATGGCGTTTGCAATGCCAGGGTTGTGGGTTCGATTCCCACGGGGGGCCAGTATGAAAAAATAATTTTTAAAAATAATGTATGCACTCACTAACTGTAAGTCGCTCTGGATAAGAGCGTCTGCTAAATGACTAAAATGTCAAATGTAATGGCAATGTCGTCATTAGCTAGCAAAGTTTGTCAAAAATAGCTAGCAATGCTAACGTTAGCTAGCTAAAATCCGATGGCCTCCCCTCAATCTTAGCTCGCTAGCTAACGCTATGCTGCATCTAAAGTCAATCTGGTGACATCAAAATGATGACAAGAGGTTTTCCTACTAATTATTTGCCTCCTTTTGAATGTCATTGTATTTCCAAGCCACTGTAATGCACTTTGGATTAAATCTTAATCAGCGCTCGTTGACGACGCATTGAGTAGAATGCTCAGTCAGGCGTCAATTCAAAACTAACATTCAAAACAATATTGTGACAAAACATGCAATCCATGAATACAAACAAAAATTGAAATAGAAATAAACAAATGAAAGTCTTTGGTTGAATCCAACGAGTGTCTGTGTGTGTCTGTTACATGACCAAGGTCCTGGCAGAGTAAGTGTTGATGTATTTATGGTTCTGCTCTAAAGCCAAGACTTGGTCCTCCACCTTCCCACAAGCCACTTGGTCCCAAGTGTTGAGCTGCTGAGAGAGAGAGAGAGAGAGAGAGAGAGAGAGAGAGAGAGAGAGAGAGAGAGAGAGAGAGAGAGAGAGAGAGAGAGAGAGAGAGAGAGAGAGAGAGAGAGAGAGAGAGAGAGAGAGAGAGAGAGAGAGAGAGAGAGAGAGAGAGAGAGAGAGACAGGGGAGAGAGAGAGAGAGAGAGAGAGAGAGAGAGAGAGAGATAGAGAGAGAGAGAGAGAGAGAGAGAGAGAGAGAGAGAGAGAGAGAGAGAGAGAGAGTTTTGCATGACATTGCTGACATGTTACATAAATCACTTTGAAAGCGTTGTGACCCTCTAGCAACAGTGGGCATACACCTGTAGCAGTTCACACACACACACACACACACAGTCTTGTATAAGTAACCTTGTGGGGACACACAATTCCTTAACCCGCTAACCTTAACCCTAACCGTAACTCCAAAACCTAACCTTAATCCTAACCCTAACCCTAGCTCCTAACCCTAAAACTAACCCTAGCCCCTAACCCTAATTCTAACCCTAACCCTAGCTCCTAAACCTAACCCTAGCCCCTAACCTTAATCCTAACCCTAACCCTAGCCCCTAACCCTAACCCTAGCTCCTAACCCTAGCCCCTAACCCTAATTCTAACCCTAACCCTTAACCCTAACCTTAATCCTAACCCTAACCCTAACCCTAGCTCCTAATCCTAACCCTAGCTCCTAACCCTAACCCTAACCCTAGCTCCTAGCTCCTAACCCTAGCCCCTAACCCTAATTCTAACCCTAACCCCTAACCCTAAACTTAATCCTAACCCTAACCCTAACCCTAGCTCCTAACCCTAACCCTAGCTCCTAACCCTAACCCTAACCCTAGCTCCTAACCCTAACCCTAACCCTAACCCTAACCCTAGCTCCTAACCCTAACCCTAGCTCCTAACCCGAGCTCCTAACCCTAACCCTAACCCTAGCTCCTTACCCTAACCCTAACCCTAACCCTAGCTCCTAACCCTAACCCTGACCCTATCTCCTAACCCTAACCCTATCTCCTAACCCTAACCCTAGCTCCTAACCCTAACCCTAACCCTATCTCCTAACCCTAACCCGATCTCCTAACCCTAACCCTAACCCTAGCTCCTAACCCTAACCCTAACCCTAGCTCCTAACCCTAACCCTATCTCCTAACCCTATCTCCTAACCCTCACCCTAACCCTAACCCTAATTCCAACCCTAACCCTTAACCCTAACCTTAATCCTAACCCTAACCCTAGCTCCTAACCCTAACCCTAACCCTAGCTCCTAACCCTAACCCTAACCCTAACCCTAGCTCCTAGCTCCTAACCCTAATTCTAACCCTAACCCCTAACCCTAACCTTAATCCTAACCCTAACCCTAACCCTAGCTCCTAACCCTAGCTCCTAACCCTAACCCTAACCCTAGCTCCTAACCCTAACCCTAGCTCCTAACCCTAACCCTAGCTCCTAACCCTAGCTCCTTACCCTAACCCTATCTCCTAACCCTAACCATAGCTCCTAACCCTAACCCTAACCCTATCTCCTAACCCTGACCCTATCTCCTAACCTTAACCCTAGCTCCTAACCCTAACCCTATCTCCTAACCCTAACCCTAACCCTAGCCCCTAACCCTAATTCTAACCCTAACCCCTAACCCTAAACTTAATCCTAACCCTAACCCTAGCTCCTAACCCTAACCCTAACCCACAAAACACCAGTCTTTACGTCAACAGTGAAGAGGCGACTCCGGGATGCTGACCTTCTAGGCAGAGTTGCAAAGAAAAAGCCATATCTCAGACTGGCCAATAAAAATAAAATATTAAGATGGGCAAAATAACACAGACACTGGACAGAGGAAGATTGGAAAAAAGTGTTATGGACAGACAAATTGAAGTTTGAGGTGTTCGGATAACAAAGAAGAACATTTGTGAGACTCAGACCAAATGAAAAGATGCTGGAGGAGTGCTTGATGCCATCTGTCAAGCATGGTGGAGGCAATGTGATGGTCTGGGGGTGCTTGTAAAGTGGGAGATTTGTACAGGGTAAAAGGGATCTTGAAGAAGGAAGGCTATAACTCCATTTTGCAACTGCCATGCCATACCCTGTGGATGGCGCTTGATTGGAGCCAATTTCCTCCTACAAAAGGACAATGACCCAAAGCACAGCTCCAAACTATGCAAAACTATTTAGGGAAGAAGCAGTCAGCTGGTATTCTGTCTATAATGGAGTGGCCAGCACAGTCACCGGATCTCAACCCTATTGAGCTGTTGTGGGAGCAGCTTGACCGTATGGTACGTAAGAAGTGCCCATCAAGCCAATCCAACTTGTGGGAGGTGCTTCAGGAAGCATGGGGTGAAATCTCTTCAGATTACCTCAACAAATTGACAACTAGAATGCCAAAGGTCTGCAAGGCTGTAATTGCTGCAAATGGAGGATTCTTTGACGAAAGCAACATTTTGAAGGACACAATCATTATTTCTAACCTTGTCAATGACTACATTTCCTATGCATTTTGCTATATTTCCTATTCAAACTCATTTCATGTATGCTTTTATGAAAAACAAGGACATTTCTAAGTGACCCCAAACTTTTGAACGGTAGTGTAGCATTTGACATTGGCTGGTCACATTTCTGTTTGTTTACTATTCTTGTGGTGACTTCTGGTCCCGACAAATATAGTTCAACATGTCCATACACACACACAAACCTGTAGCGGGCTGCCCAGAGGACGACGGGGGATGTGGTAGGGTTTGTGTCCGTCTTCACTCAGCACAGAACTAGTCAGCAGATCCTAGAGAAAGAGATTTGGCATGAGGGTCTGCTATACAAATTGATGGAAAGTGATGTTGGGGGAAAAACCTGCAACATTATAAAATCTATGTACACAAACAACAAGTGTGCGGTTAAAATTGGCAAAAGACACACATTTCTTTCCACAGGGCCGTGGGGTGAGACAGGGATGCAGCTTAAGCCCCCACCCTCTTCAACATAAATATCAACGAATTGGCGAGGGCACTAGAACAGTCTGCAGCACCCGGCCTCACCCTACTAGAATCTGAAGTCAAATGTCTAATGTTTGCTGATGATCTGGTGCTTTTGTCCCCAACCAAGGAGGGCCTACAGCAGCACCTAGATCTTCTGCACAGATTCTGTCAGACCTGGGCCCTGACAGTAAATCTCTGTAAGACAGAAATAATGGTGTTACAAAAAAGATCCAGTAGCCAAGACAACAAATACAAATTCTATCTAGACACCATTGCCATAGAGCACACAAAAAAGTATACCTACCTTGGCCTAAACATCAGTGCTTTTTACGCCATCAAAAATAACATAAAATTCGACATACCAATTAGGATCTGGCTAAAAATACTTGAATCAGTTATAGAACCCATTGCCCTTTATGGTTGTGAGGTCTGGGGTCCGCTCACCAAACAAGAATTCACAAAAAGGGACAACCACCAAATTGAGAATCTGCATGCAGAATTCTGCAAAAATATCCTCCGTATACAACGTAAAACACCAAATAATTCATGCAGAGCAGAATTAGGCCGATACCCGCTAATTATCAAAATCCAGAAAAGAGCCATTAAATTCTACAACCACCTAAAAGGAAGCGATTCACAAACCTTCCATAACAAAGCCATCACCTACAGAGAGATGAACCTGGAGAACCTGGAGAAGTGTCCTGGGGCTCTGTTCACAAACACAAACAGATCCCACAGAGCCCCAGGACAGCAGCACAATTAGACCCAACCAAATCATGAGAAAATAAAAAGAGAATTACAAAAAGAGAATTACTTGACACATTGGAGAGAGAGAGAGAGACATTCTCATTTTGAATGTAAAGAAAAAACAGTTCTGAAGTCCCTTCCGTCTTCAAGAGAGCGAGAGTTGCACCCCTTCTCAAAAAACCAACACTCGATCCCACTGATGTCAACAACTACAGACCAGTATCCCTTCTTTCTTTTCTTTCCAAAACTATTGAGCGTGCCGTCTTTAGCCAACTCTCTTGCTATCTCTCTCAGAATGACCTTCTTGATCCAAACCAGTCAGGTTTCAGGACTGGTCATTCAACTGAGACTGCTCTTCTCTGTGTCACGGAGGCTCTCCGCACTGCTAAAGCTAACTCTCTCTCCTCTGCTCTTGTCCTTCTAGACCTGTCTGCTGCCTTTGATACTGTGAACCATCAGATCCTCCTCTCCACCCTCTCCGAGCTGGGCATCTCCGGCGCGGCTCACTCCTGGATCGCGTCCTACCTGACCGGTCGCTCCTACCAAGTGGCGTGGCGAGAAGCTGTCTCCGCACCACGTGCTCTCACCACTGGTGTCCCCCAGGGCTCAGTTCTAGGCCCTCTCCTATCATTGCTACGCTGACAATACACAACTAATCTTCTCCTTTCCCCCTTCTGATAACCAGGTGGCGAATCGCATCTCTGCATGTCTGGCAGACATATCAGTATGGATGACGGATCACCACCTCAAGCTGAACCTTGGCAAGACGGAGCTGCTCTTCCTCCCGGGGAAGGACTGCCCGTTCCATGATCTCGCCATCACGGTTGACAACTCCATTGTGTCCTCCTCCCAGAGTGCGAAGAGCCTTGGCGTGACCCTGGACAACACCCTGTCGTTCTCCGCTAACATCAAGGCGGTGACCCGATCCTGCAGGTTCATGCTCTACAACATTCGGAGAGTACGACCCTGCCTTACACAGGAAGCGGCACAGGTCCTAATCCAGGCACTTGTCATCTCCCGTCTGGATTACTGCAACTCGCTGTTGGCTGGGCTCCCTGCCTGTGCCATTAAACCCCTACAACTCATCCAGAATGCCGCAGCCCGTCTGGTGTTCAACCTTCCCAAGTTCTCTCACGTCACCCCGCTCCTCCGCACACTCCACTGTTACAAGACCATGGTGCTTGCCTATGGAGCTGTGAGGGGATCGGCACCTCTGTACCTTCAGGCTCTGATCAGTCCCTACATCCAAACGAGGGCATTGCGTTCATCCACCTCTGGCCTGCTGGCTCCCCTTCCTCTGCGGAAGCATAGTTCCCGCTCAGCCCAGTCAAAACTGTTCGCTGCTCTGGCACCCCAATGGTGGAACAAGCTCCCTCACGACGCCAGGACAGCGGAGTCACTCACCACCTTCCGGAGACATTTGAAACCCCACCTCTTTAAGGAATACCTGGGATAGGATAAAGTAATCCTTCTACCCCCCCCCCCTAAAAAATAAAAAAATAAAAAATAAAAATATTGTTAAGTGGTTATCCCACTGGCTATAGGGTGAATGCACCTATTTGTAAGTCGCTCTGGATAAGAGCGTCTGCTAAATGACGTAAATGTAAATGTAAATGTAAGTCTTTTTACGTTGCATGTTGGAATTTACAAGACTTGAAGTCCTCTGCTTTTGGGCTAAAGAGCATAAACCCAGACTTCCTTAAATAAATTGATGATGTTGATATTGTAGTACTACAGGAAACATGGTGCAGAGGTGATGTTTCCACTGGCTGTCCACTAGGTTATAGGGAGATAATCGTACCATCCACCAAATTAAAAGGAATCACACAGGGCAGAGACTCAGGGGGAATGCTAATATGGTATAAATCTGAACTAACTAATTCAATCGAATTGATCAAAACAGGAGAATTCTTTATCTGGCAAAAAATCAACAAGGAAGCTATCTTAACAGATAACAACGTCTTCCTCTGTGCCACATACATTCCCCCCTCAGAGTCACCCTACTTCAATTAAGAGAGTTTCTCCATTCTAGAGGGGGAGATTAGTCACTTTCAGGCCCAAGGCAATGTGCTGGTCTGTGGAGACCTGAATGCTAGAACAGCAGAAGAACTAGACACTATTAACAGTCATGGGGACAAACACCTACCGGGAAGCAACAACCTACCCCTCCCCACATACCCCCCTAGAAACAACTATGACAAAGTGAAAAATAAAAATGGAGTACAGCTCCTGAAGCTCTGTCGAACACTGGGTCTGTACAGTCAATGGTAGGTTAAGAGGGGACTCATTTGGTAGGTACACCTACAGCTCATCCCTTGGCAGCAGTACTGTAGACTACTTCATCACCGACCTCAACCCAGAGTCTCTCAGAGCCTTCACAGTCAGCCCACTAACACCTCTCTCAGACCACAGTAAAATCACAGTGTATCTGAGAAGAGCGGAACCCAACCATGAAGCATCACGGCCCAATAAATTACATGGTACTAAACAGACCTATAGATGGAGTGCAAACAGTACAGAAATCTACCAAAAAGCAATTAGTAGCCAAAAAATACAATCTCTCCTGGACAACTTTTTAGCATTAACATTCTCCTACACCAATGAAGGTGTACATTTGTCCATTTGGAACATAAACTTTATATTTCACAAATTCGCCTCCTTGGCTAATCTTAATAAACTTAAGAGCAAACCAAAAATAATAGATCATGAAAAATGGTTTGATAATGATTGCAAAAATCTAAGAAAGTCATTGAGAAATATATCTAATCATAAACACAGAGACCCAGACAACAAAAATATACGTCTTCAATATGGGGAAACACTGAAGCAATACAAACACACCCTAAGAAGAAAAAAGGAACAGCACATTAGAAATCAGCTAGATGTGATTGAGGAATCCATAGAATCAAACCACTTCTGGGAGAATTTGAATAAATTAAACAAACCTCATAATGAGGAATTGGCTATCCAAAATGGGGATATGTGGAGAAATCCCTTTGCAAACCTCTGCAGCATTATAACAAAGAGCCCAGAACAACAAGATATACAAGAAAAATTACAAATCCTTGAATCAGCAGTCAAAGACTATCAGAATCCTCTGGATTCCCCAATTACAGAATAATAATTATTGGAAAAACGTTGCACTCTCCAACCCAAAAAGGCCTGTGGTGCTGATGGTATTTTAAATGAAATGATCAAATATACAGACCACAAATTCAAATTGGCTATACTCAAACTCTTCAACATTATCCTAACTGCAGGTATTTTCCCCGATATTTGGAACCAAGGATTGATCACACCAATTTATAAAAATGGAAACAAAATTGACCCAAATAATTACAGAGGAATTTGCGTTAACAGCAACTTGGGGAAAATTCTCTGCAGTATCATAAACAGCAGACTACATAATTTCCTTGATGAACACAACGTCCTAAGCAGAAGCCAGATTGGATTTGTAAAACATTATCGTACAACAGACCACATTTACACCCTCCAGACTCTAATTGACAAACAAGTAAATCAAAACAAAGGCAAAATCTACTTGTGTTTTGTAGACTTCAAGAAAGCATTTGATTCAATTTGGCACGAAGGTCTTTTTTACAAACTAATAGAAAGTGGTATTGGAGGGAAAACATATGATGTTATTAAATCAATGTACACTAAAAACAAATGTGCGATTAAAATCTGCAACAAGCAAACAGACTTCTTCTCTCAGGGACGTGGAGTGAAACAGGGCTGCCCAATAAGTCCAACACTATTTAACATCTACATTAACGAATTGGCAAAAACATTAGAAGAATCGGCAGCACCTGGTCTCACCCTACACAACACTGAAATCAAGTGTCTGCTGGACGCAGATGACCTGGTGCTACTGTCTCCCACTAAGGAGGGGTTACAGCAGCATCTAGATCATCTGCACAAATTCTGTCAGACCTGGGCCCTGACCGTTAATCTAAAAAAACCGAATATAATGATATTCCAAAAAAGGTCCGGAAATCAGGATGACAAATATAAATTCTATTTGGACACAGTTCTATTAGAACACACCAAAAATTACACATATCTAGGACTAAATATCAGCAACACAGGTAGCTTTCACATGGCTGTGAATGAGCTGAGAGACAAAGCAAGAAGAGCATTCTATGCCATTAAAAGGAATATTAAAATCGAAATTCCAATTAGAATCTGGCTCAAAATCTTCCAATCAGTTATAGAACCAATTGCTCTATATGGCAGCAAAGTATGGGGTCCGCTCTCTAATACTGAATTTACCAAATGGGACAAATATCCAATCGAAATACTGCATGCAGAGTTTTGCAAGACTGTATTGCAAGTGCAAAGAAAAACTCAAAATAACGCATGTAGAGCAGAATTGGGCCAATACCCCCTCCTTATTCGAATAGAAAAAAGAGCCATCAAATTTTACAACCATCTAAAAACAAGTGACCCCAAAACATTCCATCACACAGCTCTACTATGTCAAGAGATGAAACAAGAGAAGAGTCCCCTCAGCCAGCTGGTTCTGAGGCTCAGTTCACTAATCAAAACCAACCTCATAGAGCCTCAGGACAACACTCAGAAAATCTGGCCCAACCAAATCATCACAAAGCAAAAAGAAAAATATATCACCTATTGGAAAGAAACCACAAAAAATCTAAGTAAACTTCAATGCTATTTGGCTCTAAACAGACAGTACATGGTGGCAGACTATCTGACCACTGTGACTGATAGAAAACTGAGAAAAACACTGACTAGGTACAGACTCAGTGAGCACAGTCTGGCTATAGAGACCGGTCGTCACAGGCAAACCTGGCTGCCCAGAGAGGACAGGCTGTGCTCACTCTGCCCCAGGGGAGAGGTAGAGACAGAGCTGCATTTCCTACTACACTGTGACAAATACTCAGACCTAAGAGAATCTTTCTTTCCCAAAATTATCATTCAGTACAAAGAATTTGAAACTATAAAAGAGGAAGAAAAAATCAAATATTTATTGGGTGAAAAGCCTAAATGTGCAATTTTGGCAGCCAAATACAGTGGGGGAAAAAAGTATTTAGTCAGCCACCAATTGTGCATGTTCTCCCACTTAAAAAGATGAGAGAGGCCTGTAATTTTCATCATAGGTACACGTCAACTATGACAGACAAAATGAGAAAAAAAAAATCCAGAAAATCACATTGTAGGATTTTTTATGAATTTATTTGCAAATTATGGTGGAAAATAAGTATTTGGTCAATAACAAAAGTTTCTCAATACTTTGTTATACAGTGATCCCTCGCCACTTCGCGGTTCACTTATCGCGGATTCGCTATTTCGCGGATTTTCATAATGCATTTTTTTTTTTTTGGTGCATTGTGCTCTGCATTCTGATTCACTAAAAACTCACTCCCGCTTCTTGTATCAAAACATGCTACGAATTGTGCTATCATTTTGTCGTCTCGTGCAGTTATGTGTACGTACATAAAACAGCTTGGCAAATTTACATTAAGTTGGCCAAATTATCTTGTAATTTCGAACATCTCCTAAACCCATAATGTCGATGAAACGGCCTGGACCGACAAAAGCACCTGCGGATGGGCCCAAACGGCGGAAGATGCTACCTATCTCAGATAAAGTTAAACTTCTGGACATGCTAAGGGAAGGTAAAAGCTATGCAGCCGTTGCTCGCCATTACGGAATCAATGAATCGAGAGATGAGGAGGAAGGACTAACGCTTGGTCGCTTAGCAACCATGGTGCGAATGGCCACTGAACTTAAGCGAGTAGCTGAGGAATGGGACCCTTTGATGAGCCGTTCATTACAGTTCTCCAACGTAATCGATGGTGGCATGTCGGTGTACAAGGATCTTTTTGCAAAGAAGAAAAAAGAGCGACAACAGCTGCCTATCACTATGTTCTTCTCCCGAACAAACACACCTGCACCGCGGGCTTCAGAAGAAGAGAACACTGCAGAGCGCAGTCAGGATGCAGCGGCCCAGTCTGAAGAGCAGTGAAACGGCCTACACGTGAGTCACTGTATTTGTATACATGTAATAGTTGCTAATTGTAAAAAAAAAAAGTTTTCTATTTCGCGGATTTCACTTATCGCGGGTCATTTTCGGAACGTAACCCCCGCGATAAACGAGGGATTACTGTATACCCTTTGTTGGCAATGACACAGGTCAAACGTTTTCTGTAAGTCTTCACAAGGTTTTCACACACTGTTGCTGGTATTTTGGCCCATTCCTCCATGCAGATCTCCTCTAGCGCAGTGATGTTTTGGGGCTGTCGCTGGGCAACACAGACTTTCAACTCCCTCCAAAGATTTTCTATGTGGTTGAGATCTGGAGACTGGCTAGGCCACTCCAGGACCTTGAAATGCTTCTTACGAAGCCACTCCTTCGTTGCCCGGGCGGTGTGTTTGGGATCATTGTCATGCTGAAAGACCCAGCCACGTTTCATCTTCAATGCCCTTGCTGATGGAAGGAGGTTTTCACTCAAAATCTCACGATACATGGCCCCATTCATTCCTTCCTTTACACGGATCAGTCGTCCTGGTCCCTTTGCAGAAAAACAGCCCCAAAGCATGATGTTTCCACCCCCATGCTTCACAGTAGGTATGGTGTTCTTTGGATGCAACTCAGCATTCTTTGTCCTCCAAACACGACGAGTTGAGTTTTTTAACCAAAAAGTTATATTTTGGTTTCATCTGACCATATGACATTCTCCCCAATCCTCTTCTGGATCATCCAAATGCACTCTAGCAAACTTCAGACGGGCCTGGACATGTACTGGCTTAAGCAGGGGGACACGTCTGGCACTGCAGGATTTGAGTCCCTGGCGGCGTAGTGTGTTACTGATGGTAGGCTTTGTTACTTTGGTCCCAGCTCTCTGCAGGTCATTCACTAGGTCCCCCCGTGTGGTTCTGGGATTTTTGCTCACCGTTCTTGTGATCATTTTGACCCCACGGGGTGAGATCTTGCGTGGAGCCCCAGATCGAGGGAGATTATCAGTGGTCTTGTATGTCTTCCATTTCCTAATAATTGCTCCCACAGTTGATTTCTTCAAACCAAGCTGCTTACCTATTGCAGATTCAGTCTTCCCAGCCTGGTGCAGGTCTACAATTTTGTTTCTGGTGTCCTTTGACAGCTCTTTGGTCTTGGCCATAGTGGAGTTTGGAGTGTGACTGTTTGAGGTTGTGGACAGGTGTCTTTTATACTGATAACAAGTTCAAACAGGTGCCATTAATACAGGTAACGAGTGGAGGACAGAGGAGCCTCTTAAAGAAGAAGTTACAGGTCTGTGAGAGCCAGAAATCTTGCTTGTTTGTAGGTGACCAAATACTTATTTTCCACCATAATTTGCAAATAAATTAATTAAAAATCCTACAATGTGATTTTCTGGATTTTTTTTCTCAATTTGTCTGTCATAGTTGACGTGTACCTATGATGAAAATTACAGGCCTCTCTCATCTTTTTAAGTGGGAGAACTTGCACAATTGGTGGCTGACTAAATACTTTTTTTCCCCACTGTATGTGTCCTCCTGCCACAACCTGAGGGACAGCCAGTGAAAAGTGTAATGTAATGTCAATAATATTTCCTGTTTTGTTTTGGCTTTCATAGCATGTAATGTGTCTTCTCAGTCATGTTGAGATTGGTCGACTACTATTGCTTTAATGTATTGTTATTCTCAATAATATTGTTGTTGTAGTTGCTGTTAATGGTAATCCCATTTCCACTACTACTATTATTATTGCTGTTGGTCCCACCATTTTTGTTATATGTATACTTTGACAATGTAAGTAATTTTACTTGCCATGTCAATAAAGTCTATTGAATTGAATTGAATTGAATTGAGAGAGATAGAGAGAGAGAGAGAGAGAGAGAGAGAGAGAGAGAGAGAGAGAGAGAGAGAGAGAGAGAGAGAGAGAGAGAGAGAGACAGAGATAGAGATAGAGACAAAGACAGAGACAGAGACAGAGACAGAGACAGAGACAGAGACAGAGACAGAGACAGAGACAGAGAGAGAGAGAGAGAGAGAGAGAGAGCGAGAGAGAGAGAGAGAGAGAGAGAGACTAAACACACAGGAAACCGTTGAGCGTGAAAAATCCAGCAGTGTTGCATTTCTTGACACACTCAAACCGGTGTGCCTGGCACCTACTACCACGTTCAAAGGCAGTTAAAAAATGTTGTCTTGCCCATTCACCCTCTGACAATCCATGTCTCAATTGTCTCAAGGCTTAAACATCCTTCTTTAACCCTGTCTCCTCCCCTTCATCTACACTGATTGAAGTGGATTTAACAAGTGACATCAATAAGGGATCATAGCTTTCACCTGGATTCACCTGGTCAGTCTGTGTCATGGAAAGAGCAGGTGTTCCTAATGTTTTGTGCGCTCAGTGTATACATTCCAGTAAGAGAGGCACAGCAGTCAGAAGGTCAAGGGTTAGGGAGGTGAAAGGTGAAAGGTGAAAGGTGAAAGGTGAAAGGTGAAAGGTTAAAAGCTGACAGGTGTGTAGTGCTGCAGTCCCAACAACGGCATGGGATCGAATCCAGACACTCTCTAACCTGTTCTACCTTCTATACCTTTAGTAATAATAACCTTTAGAATAATAATCACAACAATAATAATGGTAATAATAATAATATGCCATTTAGCAGACGCTTTTATCCAAAGCGACTTACAGTCATGTGTGCATACATTTTTACATATGGGTGGTCCCGGGGATCGAACCCACTACCCTGGCGTTACAAGCGCCACGCTCTACCAATTGAGCTACAGAGGACCACAAACTCAACACTGGACCTCCAAGCCAGTTCACTGCGTTTTTTTCAGGGACGGATTTAGACCTGCGACACGACCAATTAATGATCAGGTCAATCAGAAAAGCAGCAGGCTCTGAACACCCCTGCACTATACTTTCCATCTGTCTAAAGAAATCATTATAAAAAAAGAGTAGACTGGAGAAGGAGGAAGAGGAGGAGCAAAGAGGAGGAGGAGGACATGTGACTTACAGGTACTTCCTGTGCGGGGCCGGAGGGGGAGAAGAGCTGGGCGTGGATGTCTGGCCCCTCCCACTGCAGACAGGGAGACTCCATCTGCAACACAACTACGGTCAGAACACGGGCAAACACCTGGTCAGAACACGGGCAAACACCTGGTCAGAACACGGGCAAACACCTGGTCAGAACACGGGCAAACACCTGGTCAGAACACGGGCAAACACCTGGTCAGAACATAACCACAGAATATAAGCACAGAGTCTGAGCACAACCACATGTATATATTGATGTAAAAGTACCTCTTGTTTGATCTTCTTTAAGGGTGGCTGTTGGTCTGGGGAGCCCCCGACCGAGACAACACACTCCATAGATTCCTGCTTTACACACTCTACCATGGAGGACCTGAAGGGGGTCGGAGTACGAGGAGACAACTCCAGGAGGGAACGACGGATAGTAGGAGTCCAGAACCTGAGAGAGAGAGAGAGAGAGAGAGAGAGAGAGACAGGGAGGGGATCGAGGAGAGAGAGAGAGAGAGAGAGCGAGCGAGACAGAGGTAGCTGAGAGAGAGAGATAGAGAGGAGACGGAGTGTGAGAGAGAGAGGAGAGAGATATAGAGATAGGATATAGTCGAGCCTACAAGGATGGGGAGATAGATATAGAGAGAAGAGAGCGAGACGGAGGGAGAGAGAGAGAGAATAGAGACCGTATGAGTAGATATAGAGCGTAGCGAGAGAGAGAGAGAGGATAGTGAGAGAGGGAATACTAGAGACGACTATCGAGAGGATTCAAGATATACAGAGGGGAGAAGAGATAGATAGCGTAGCTTATTTCGCATTATATAGGATATAGAATCGAGCTATAACAGGAGGTCTATATAGATATCTTACTCTCCTCTTCTCTATAGACCTCGTTATCCTCGCTTAGAAGTAGATCTTTGGTATGATTGCCTTGTTTTGAGATCAGAAAAGGGAGAGAGATCAGAGATGGATGCAGATAGATATTAGATCATCTTTGGAGAGTATGATGATATTAGAATCCGCATTAGGAGATTAGAATATATATATCCTATAAATATGAGATATTAATAGATATAGATAAGAAATCATTTTTAGTTTAATCGCTCTCTGCTTTTCTCCTCGCTCTCTCTCTGCTTCTCTCTACTTCTCTCTCTCTCTCTCTCTCCTCTTCCTCCTCGCTCTTCCCCTTCTTATCTCTCTACTCCTCGCTCGCGCTCTCATTTTGTTTCTTTTTGAATTATAATCGCTACTTTTTTAGGAGGTTTAGAGAGAGAGCCGAGAAGAGAGAGCAGGGCTAACAGAGTAAAAGAGAAGAGAGAACATTTTTAGGAAAAAATGAATTACAGGATGGGTTCGAGAGAGAATTAGAGAGAAAAAATTTTAGAGAGAAGTTTCCTTTTTTTCTCTCTAGTTTTTGTCTCGCGACTCCTTTCTCTCTCCTCCCCTTCCCGCTCTTGTCCTCATCTCCCTCTCTCGCCCTTCTCTCTCTTTCTCTCTCTCTCTCTCGCTCCCCACTTCTTTCGCTCCTCTCTCTCTTGCTCTCTCTGCGTCATTCCTCTCTCTGCTCTGCCCGTCGGGCTCCCGTTCGTTTTACATCAATTGACACTGGAGTTGGTTATTGATCATTATTGTTACACACGTGCTAATAATAATAAGAGTATAAAAAAATATATGCTTACATGCCGTTCTCTTTTTGGTGTCGGGGTGTGTGGTCTCGGTGTAGAGGCGTGGCCAGCAGGGGTTTCTGGGAGCCCATTGGTAAGCTGTGGCTGTCTGATTGGTTGAGGAACTGCAGGAGAAAAAAAGTGAACTTGATGAATACCATTCCATCTTATGAACACTCTGGGTATTGGCAGGGTATTGACAGGGTATTGACAGGGTATTGACAGGGTATTGGAGAGTTTAACACACAGGAACACAGTTACATCTACAACTAGAGCAGTGTGTCCCAACCCTGGTCCTCCAGTATCCCCAACAGTACACAGTTTAGTTGTATCCCTGGACAAACACACCTCATTCAACTCATTGATGAGCTTGATGATTCGTTGACTCAAGTTGAATCAGGTGTGCTTGTCCAGGGTTACAATAAAACGGTGTACTGTTCGGGGTACTGGAGGACCAGGGTTGGGACACTCTGGGCTAGAGAATAAAAAAAAAAAGGTCTATAGCAGTGGTCATCGATCTTTAATATTACCCTAGGCAGTCAGTCTATAGTTTAGTAATCAGTCTATAGTTTAGTAATCAGTCTATAGTTTAGTAATCAGTCTATAGTATAGTAATCAGTCTATAGTATAGTAATCAGTCTATAGTATAGTAATCAGTCTATAGTATAGTAGTCAGTCTATAGTATAGTAATCAGTCTATAGTATAGTAGTCAGTCTATAGTATAGTAGTCAGTCTATAGTTTAGTAATCAGTCTATAGTATAGTAGTCAGTCTATAGTATAGTAGTCAGTCAATAGTATAGTAATCAGTCTATAGTATAGTAGTCAGTCTATAGTATAGTAATCAGTCTATAGTATAGTAGTCAGTCTATAGTATAGTAGTCAGTCTATAGTATAGTAATCAGTCTATAGTATAGTAATCAGTCTATAGTATAGTAATCAGTCTATAGTATAGTAGTCAGTCTATAGTATAGTAGTCAGTCTATAGTATAGTAATCAGTCTATAGTATAGTAATCAGTCTATAGTATAGTAGTCAGTCTATAGTATAGTAGTCAGTCTATAGTTTAGTAATCAGTCTATAGTATAGTAGTCAGTCTATAGTATAGTAATCAGTCTATAGTATAGTAGTCAGTCTATAGTATAGTAGTCAGTCTATAGTATAGTAATCAGTCTATAGTATAGTAATCAGTCTATAGTATAGTAGTCAGTCTATAGTATAGTAATCAGTCTATAGTATAGTAATCAGTCTATAGTATAGTAATCAGTCTATAGTATAGTAGTCAGTCTATAGTTTAGTAATCAGTCTATAGTATAGTAGTCAGTCTATAGTATAGTAATCAGTCTATAGTATAGTAGTCAGTCTATAGTATAGTAATCAGTCTATAGTATAGTAATCAGTCTATAGTATAGTAGTCAGTCTATAGTATAGTAGTCAGTCTATAGTATAGTAGTCAGTCTATAGTATAGTAATCAGTCTATAGTATAGTAGTCAGTCTATAGTATAGTAGTCAGTCTATAGTATAGTAGTCAGTCTATAGTATAGTAATCAGTCTATAGTATAGTAGTCAGTCTATAGTATAGTAGTCAGTCTATAGTTTAGTAATCAGTCTATAGTATAGTAGTCAGTCTATAGTATAGTAATCAGTCTATAGTATAGTAGTCAGTCTATAGTATAGTAATCAGTCTATAGTATAGTAATCAGTCTATAGTATAGTAGTCAGTCTATAGTATAGTAGTCAGTCTATAGTATAGTAATCAGTCTATAGTATAGTAATCAGTCTATAGTATAGTAGTCAGTCTATAGTATAGTAGTCAGTTTATAGTATAGTAATCAGTCTATAGTATAGTAATCAGTCTATAGTATAGTAGTCAGTCTATAGTATAGTAATCAGTCTATAGTATAGTAATCAGTCTATAGTATAGTAGTCAGTCTATAGTATAGTAGTCAGTCCATAGTATAGTAGTCAGTCTATAGTATAGTAATCAGTCTATAGTATAGTAGTCAGTCTATAGTATAGTAGTCAGTCTATAGTATAGTAGTCAGTCTATAGTATAGTAATCAGTCTATAGTATAGTAATCAGTCTATAGTATAGTAGTCAGTCTATAGTTTAGTAATCAGTCTATAGTATAGTAGTCAGTCTATAGTATAGTAATCAGTCTATAGTATAGTAGTCAGTCTATAGTATAGTAATCAGTCTATAGTATAGTAGTCAGTCTATAGTTTAGTAATCAGTCTATAGTATAGTAGTCAGTCTATAGTATAGTAATCAGTCTATAGTATAGTAGTCAGTCTATAGTTAGTATCTAGTATTATCAGTCTATAGTATAGTAATCAGTCTATAGTATAGTAGTCAGTCTATAGTATAGTAGTCAGTCTATAGTATAGTAATCAGTCTATAGTATAGTAATCAGTCTATAGTATAGTAGTCAGTCTATAGTATAGTAGTCAGTCTATAGTATAGTAATCAGTCTATAGTATAGTAGTCAGTCTATAGTTTAGTAATCAGTCTATAGTATAGTAGTCAGTCTATAGTATAGTAGTCAGTCTATAGTATAGTAATCAGTCTATAGTATAGTAATCAGTCTATAGTATAGTAGTCAGTCTATATTATAGTAGTCAGTCTATAGTATAGTAATCAGTCTATAGTATAGTAATCAGTCTATAGTATAGTAGTCAGTCTATAGTATAGTAGTCAGTCTATAGTATAGTAGTCAGTCTATAGTATAGTAATCAGTCTATAGTATAGTAATCAGTCTATAGTATAGTAGTCAGTCTATAGTATAGTAGTCAGTATATAGTATAGTAATCAGTCTATAGTATAGTAATCAGTCTATAGTATAGTAGTCAGTCTATAGTATAGTAGTCAGTCTATAGTATAGTAATCAGTCTATAGTATAGTAGTCAGTCTATAGTATAGTAGTCAGTCTATAGTATAGTAGTCAGTCTATAGCATAGTAATCAGTCTATAGTATAGTAATCAGTCTATAGTATAGTAGTCAGTCTATAGTATAGTAGTCAGTCTATAGTATAGTAGTCAGTCTATAGTATAGTAATCAGTCTATAGTATAGTAATCAGTCTATAGTATAGTAGTCAGTCTATATTATAGTAGTCAGTCTATAGTATAGTAGTCAGTCTATAGTATAGTAGTCAGTCTATAGTATAGTAGTCAGTCTATAGTGTAGTAGTCAGTCTATAGTATAGTAGTCAGTCTATAGTATAGTAGTCAGTCTATAGTATAGTAATCAGTCTATAGTATAGTAATCAGTCTATAGTATAGTAGTCAGTCTATAGTATAGTAGTCAGTCTATAGTATAGTAGTCAGTCTATAGTATAGTAGTCAGTCTATAGTATAGTAATCAGTCTATAGTATAGTAATCAGTCTATAGTATAGTAGTCAGTCTATAGTATAGTAGTCAGTCTATAGTATAGTAGTCAGTCTATAGTGTAGTAGTCAGTCTATAGTATAGTAGTCAGTCTATAGTATAGTAGTCAGTCTATAGTATAGTAGTCAGTCTATAGTATAGTAGTCAGTTTATAGTATAGTAGTCAGTCTATAGTATAGTAGTCAGTCTATAGTATAGTAGTCAGTCTATAGTATAGTAGTCAGTCTATAGCATAGTAGTCAGTCTATAGTATAGTAGTCAGTCTATAGTATAGTAGTCAGTCTATAGCAGTTGTCACCAAACTTTTCTGAGTCAAAATCACTACCAGTCAGATATATTTTTTTCAACATTACTTACAAAACAGGCCTGTGCAACATTAAGTAATTAACAACAGTTCTGAAGAAATGAGGTTTGTGCAGTAGGCTATACATTACATTACACACAGGCTATGGTTGCACTGCCAATGTTGTTCTTCTCTGACCATCTAGAAAATATATTTGACACTGGTAATAGATCAAGATGGCGTAGCAGTGTGGTCGTGTGTTCTGTAGTGTGCTCGTGTAAATAGCCTGTTTTTTTAGTTTTTTTAGTTTTTTGTCTTTTTCGTATATATTTCTCAATCTCACTTTTCATTCTTCAACTAAATATACTTTCCTGCAACCCGCCTCACCCAATGTGGAACGGATTCTATTATTTCTTATACCGTTTTATATAGAACCGGCTGTAACTAGCTACTTGCTATTAGCCACCGTTAGCGGTTTTCACCACTGTCCGTGGCCTGCACTACCTACCAGCCAGCTCTAGCCTGGACTATTATCGGCCAGTCTGCACAGCGCGTTATCGACCCAGAACATATCGGATTTTCTGCTGGAATCACTGAATCACTGGACCTTTAACACCGGATCATCGTAACTAGCTAGCTGCAACTGAATGGATGTTGTTGTTGGCTAATCACCACTGTCCTGAAGCCAACACCAGTTAGCCTTGAGCTAGCCTTGAGCCAGGCCCATCTCCCGGCTATCCACCTCTCTGTCAACCGGACGGGACCTCCTAGTGTCGACACGGCACCCCGCCGATCCATCACGACTGGTCTGCCGACGTAATCGCCTGATGTGGTTTCAACAGGCTTCCCATTGCGACGACCATGAAGATCCATCTGCTAGACCGGGCCCGCTAGCACACGCAATCAACAGCCGTGCCTCCAGCTCGCCTGTAGCGTAGCAGCCTACAAACTGCTCCCGGACTTACTTATTGCTGTTCACTGGACCTTATGATCACTCAGCTACACAGCTGATGCCTGCTGGACTGTTCCTTTATACGGTACCCCATCCTGTTTATCTGTTTAGCCTCAGCCCAAACTTTCGTCGCCATTACCAGTTGTTGTCTTAGCTCTCTCGATTAACACCTGTGATTGCTTTATGCCTCTCTCCCATGTCAATATGGTTAGCTTATTGTTGTTTCGGTTATTTCTAATTGTACTATTTCACTGTAGATCCCCCAGCCCAGCTAAACCTGCCTTAGATAGCTCCTTTGTCCCACCCCCCCATACACGCGGAGACCAACTCAATTGGTGCCTCCAGTGATGCTATCTCTTTCATTGTTACCCAACGCTTAGGTTTACCTCCACTTTACTCATATCCTTCCATATCGTTGTCTGTACATAATGCCCTGAATCTTTTCTACAACGCCCGGAAATCTGCCCCCTTTATTCTATGTACCCAACGCACTAGAATACCAGTTCTTAAAGCCTTTAGCCGTATCCTTATTCTAGTCCTCCTCTGTTCCTCCGGTGATGTAGAGGCTAACCCAGGCCCTGCAGCCCTCAGTATCACTCCTACTCCCCAGGCGCTATCATTTGCTGACTTCTGTAATCGCAAAAGCCTTGGTTTCCTGCATGTAAATATCAGAAGTATACTTCCTAAGTTTGAGTTATTCACTGCGTTAGCACACTCCGCCAACCCTGATGTTCTAGCAGTGTCTGAATCCTGGCTTAGGAAGGCCACCAAAAATTCTGAAATTTCCATCCCCAACTATAACATTTTCCGTCTAGATAGAACTGCCAAAGGGGGTGGAGTTGCAATCTACTGTAGAGATAGCCTGCAGAGCTCTATCATACTATCCAGGTCTGTGCCCAAACAGTTTGAGCTTCTACTTCTAAAAATCCACCTTTCCAGAAATAAGTCTCTCACTGTTGCTGCTTGCTACAGACCCCCCTCAGCCCCCAGCTGTGCCCTGGACACCATATGTGAATTGATTGCCCCCATCTATCCTCAGAGTTCGTACTGCTTGGTGACCTAAACTGGGACATGCTTAACACACCGGCCGTCCTACAATCTAAACTAGATGCCCTCAATCTCACACAAATTATCAAGGAACCTACCAGGTACAACCCTAAATCTGTAAACATGGGCACCCTCATAGATATCATCCTGACTAATTTACCCTCTAAATACACCTCCGCTGTCTTCAACCAGGATCTCAGTGATCACTGCCTTCAGCGAGCAGGCCTTTCTAATTGACGTGGCCCAGGTATTCTGGATGGATATTGACCTAATTCCGTCAGTAGAGGATGCCTGGTTGTTCTTTAAAAGTGCTTTCCTCTCCATCTTAAATAAGCATGCCCCATTCAAAAAATTCAGAACTAAGAACAGATATAGACCCTGGTTCACCCCAGACTTGACTGCCCTTGACCAGCACAAAAACATCCTGTGGCGTACTGCATTAGCATCGAACAGCCCCCGCAATATGCAACTTTTCAGGGAAGTCAGGAACAAATATACACAAATCAGTTAGGAAAGCAAAGGCTAGCTTTTTCAAACAGAAATGTGCATCCTGTAGCACTAACTCCAAAAGGTTTTGGGACACTGTAAAGTCCATGGAGAATAAGAGCACCTCCTCCCAGCTGCCCAATGCACTGAGGCTAGGAAACACTGTCACCACCGATAAATCTATGATAATCGAGAATTTCAATAAGCATTTTGCTATGGCTGGCCATGCTTTCCACCTGGCTACCCTACCCCCGGCCACCAGCTCTGCACCCTCTGCTGCAACTTGCCCATGCCCAACCCCCCCCCCCCCCCCGCCGCTTCCCCTTCACCCAAATTCAGACAGCTGATGTTCTGAAAGAGCTGCTAAATCTGGACCCCTACAAATCAGCTGGGCTAGACAATCTGGACCCTTTATTTCTAAAATTAGCCACTGAAATTGTAGCAACCCCTGTTACTAGCCTGTTCAACCTCTCTTTCGTATCATCTGAGATCCCCAGAGATTGGAAAGCTGCCGCGGTCATCCCCCTCTTTAAAGGGGGTGACACTCTAGTCCGTTGCGCCCCTGGTCTGGTCTGGCACCGCTGACTGGAGCTGGACCCGACAACGGTGGATCGATCTGTACAGGCTCCGGACTGGAGCCGCTGGCCGGAGCTGGACTGGGCACCGGTGGAGCGGATTGCTCTGGCTCCAGAGTGGATCCGCTGACAGGAGTTGGAACGGACCCCGGTGGAGCGGATTGCTCTGGCTCCGGAGTGGAGCAGCTGACCGGTGCCGGACCAGGCACCGGTGGAACAGGCACGGGCCGTGCCGGACTGGACACACGCACCACTGGCTTGGTGCGGGGAACAGGAGCGGGCCGGACCGGGCTGACGACGCGCACCACTGGCTTGGTGCGGGGAGCAGGAATGGGCCGGACCGGGCTGACGACGCGCACCACTGGCTTGGTGCGGGGAGCAGGAACGGGCCGCACTGGGCTGACGACGCGCACCACAGGCTTGGTGCGAGGGACAGGAACAGGCCGGGCTGGACTGGGAACACGCACTACTGGCTTGGTGCGGGGAGCAGGAACCGGCCGGACCGGGCTGGTGACGCGCACCACTGGCTTGGTGCGAGGGGCAGGAACAGGCCGGACCGGGCTGGCGACGCGCACCACTGGCTTGGTGCGAGGGACAGGAACAGGCCGGGCAAACTGGGAACACGCACCACTGGCTTGGTGCGGGGAGCCGGAACGGGCCGGGCCGGACTGTGGAGGCGGACTGGAGGTCTGGAGCGAAGAGCTGACACAACCCGTCCTGGCTGAATGCCTACTTCCACACAATACGTGTGAGGCATCAGCACAGGACGTACGGGGCTGTGCACTCGTACTGGCGCTACAGCACGTGGCACTGGCGCAGGATATACGGGACCGAGGAGGCGTACTGGAGACCACGAGCGTTGAGCCGGCACACCCCGTCCTGGCTGAATGCCCATCTTTGCACGACACGTGCGTGGTGCTAGCACAGGACGTACAGGACTGTGCCGGAACACTCGCGGCACAGTACGTGGCTCCGCATAACACGGAGCCTGCCCAGTCACACGCTTCCTAGCCTGAGTACGAGGAGTTGGCTCTGCTCTAACCCTAGGCTCCGCCAACCACCCTTTTAGCCCCCCCCAAAAAAAAATATTGGGGCTGTCTCTCGGGCTTCCTCCTCGGCCGGTACCCTCTGCGTTGCCGCTGCTCCTCTCTATAGCGCGCCTCCACAGTCTCCTCCCAAGGACGGCGATCCATTCCGGCCTGAATCTCCTCCCAAGTCCAGGATCCCTTCCCGTCCAGGATCTCCTCCCAGGTCCAGGCTGTCTGTTCCTGGACATGCTGCTTGGTCCTCTTTTGATAGCAGTTTAATGATGGTGGTGGTAGTAGTAGTAGTAATGATGATGGTAGTAGGGGTGATGGTAATGATAGCAGTTTAATGATGGTGGTGGTAGTAGTAGTAGTAATGATGATGGTAGTAGGGGTGATGGTAATGATAGCAGTTTAATGATGGTGGTGGTAGTAGTAGTAGTAATGATGATGGTAGTAGGGGTGATGGTAATGATAGCAGTTTAATGATGGTGTGGTGGTAGTTAGTAGTAGTAATGATGGATGGTAGTAGGGGTGATGGTAATGATAGCAGTTTAATGATGGTGGTGGTAGTAGTAGTAGTAATGATGATGGTAGTAGGGGTTGATGGTAATGATAGCAGTTAATGATGGTGGTGGGTAGTAGTAGTAGTAATGATGATGGTAGTAGGGGTGATGGTAATGATAGCAGTTTTAATGATGGTGGGTGGTAGTAGTAGTAGTAATGATGATGGTAGTAGGGGGTGATGGTAATGATAGCAGTTTTAATGATGGTGGTTCGGTAGTAGTAGTAGTAATGATGATGGTAGTAGGGGTGATGGTAATGATAGCAGTTTAATGATGGTGGTGGTAGTAGTAGTAATGATGATGGTAGTAGGGGTGATGGTAATAATAGCAGTTTAATGATGGTGGTGGTAGTAGTAGTAGTAATGATGATGGTAGTAGGGGTGATGGTAATGATAGCAGTTTAATGATGGTGGTGGTAGTAGTAGTGGTAATGATGATGGTAGTAGGGGTGATGGTAATGATATCAGTTTAATGATGGTGGTGATGGTAGTAGTAGTAATGATGATGGTAGTAGGGGTGATGGTAATGATAGCAGTTTAATGATGGTGGTGGTAGTAGTAGTAGTAATGATGATGGTAGTTGTAGTACTGATGTAATGGTGAGGATGACAGTTAGTTAGTTAGTTTCATTTTCCATGTTTAGCCTTTTGTATTTATTATATTTCTACTATTGACTGTTAACATTTTTATATTATTGTTTATTATTTTATTACAAGGTCTATTGTATACATTGTTGCTTTGGCAATATTGACGCAATGTTTTCCATGCCAATAAAGCAGCTTGAATTTGAGAGAGAGAAGAGAGAGGAGAGAGAGAGAGAGAGAGAGAGAGGAGAGAGAGAGAGAGAGAGAGAGAGAGAGAGAGAGAGAGAGAGGAGAGAGAGAAGAAAGAAAGAGAGAGAAAGAGAGAGAGAGGGAGAGAGAGAGACAGAGAGAGAGCGAAACAGAAAGAGAGAGACAGAAAGAGAGAGATGTATATTTGATAATGACACACTGATTAGTCCTCTGACTGGCATAATGATTAGATGATGTAATCAGATGGGATGACGGTGATTGGTTCTACCGTTGTTTAGCTACCTGCGAGGATGAGAAATGCAGGATTCTGACAGGGGGACACTTTCGACTGGAGCAGACGAAACCGGCCAATAAAAACGCAGGATTGAGCCCTGATTGGGCAAGCCCCTGTCCATTCTGGAAGAGCTTCTATCAGAGAGCTGGCTGGTGCTGAACTCACCCAATGAGGGGCGGCTCTGAGGAGGGTGAGGACGGAAGCGACAGAGCAGCATCAGGTCTAGTCTAGTCTTGGCTACAGTCAAATCAAATCAAATCAAATTGTATTTGCCACATGCGCCGAATACAACAGGTGTAGACATTACCGTGAAATGCTTACTTAACCAACAGTGCATTTATTTTTTAATAAAAAAGTAAAATAAAACAACAAAAAAGTGTTGAGAAAAAAATAGCAGAAATAAAATAAAATAAAATAACAGTAGGGAGGCTATATACAGGGGGGTACCGGTGCAGAGTCAATGTGCGGGGGCACCGGCTAGTTGAGGTAGTTGAAGTAATATGTACATGTTGGTAGAGTTAAAGTGACTATGCATAAATCATTAACAGAGTAGCAGCAGCGTAAAAAGATGGGGTGGGGGTGGGGGGGCAGTGAAAATAGTCCGGGTAGCCATGATTAGCTGTTCAGGAGTCTTATGGCTTGGGGGTAGCAGCTGTTGAGAAGCCTTTTGGACCTAGACATGGCACTTCGGTACCGCTTGCCGTGCGGTAGCAGAGAGAACAGTCTATGACTAGGGTGGCTGGAGTCTTTGACAATTTTGAGGGCCTTCCTCTGACACCGCCTGGTATAGAGGTCCTGGATGGCAGGAAGCTTGGCCCCAGTGATGTACTGAGCCGTACGCACTACCCTCTGTAGTGCCTTGCGATCGGAGGCAGAGCAGTTGCCATACCAGGCGGTGATGCAACCAGTCAGGATGCTCTCGATGGTGCAGCTGTAGAACTTTTTGAGGATCTGAGGACGCATGCCAAATCTTTTCAGTCTCCTGAGGGGGAATAGGCTTTGTCGTGCCCTCTTCACGACTGTCTTGGTGTGTTTGGACCATGATAGTTCGTTGGTGATGTGGACACCAAGGAACTTGAAGCTCTCAACCTGTTCCACTACAGCCCTGTCGATGAGAATGGGGGCGGGCTCAGTCCTCTTTTTTTTTTCCTGTAGTCCACAATCATCTCCGTTGTCTTTGTCACGTTGAAGGAGAGGTTGTTATCCTGGCACCACATGGCCAGGTCTCTGACCTCCTCCCTATAGGCTGTCTCACTGTTGTCAGTGATCAGGCCTACCACTGTTGTGTCGTCGGCAAACTTAATGATGGTGTTGGAGTTGTGCCTGGCCATGCAGTCATGGGTGAACAGGGAGTACAGGAGGGGACTGAGCACGCACCACTGAGGGGCCCCGTGTTGAGGATCAGCGTGGCAGATGTGTTGTTACCTACCCTTACCACCTGGGGGCCAGGAAGTCCAGGATCCAGTTGCAGAGGGAGGTGTTTAGTCCCAGGGTCCTTAGCTTAGTGATGAGCTTTGAGGGCACTAAGGTGTTGAACGAAGAGCTGTAGTCAATGAATAGCATTCTCACGTAGGTGTTCCTCTTGTCCAGGTGGGAAAGGGCAGTGTGGAGTGCAATAGAGATTGCATCATCTGTGGATCTGTTGGGGCAGTATGCAAATCGGAGTGGGTCTAGGGTTTCTGGAATAATGGTGTTGATGTGAGCCATGACCAGCCTTTCAAATCACTCCATGGCTACAGACGTCAGTGCTATGGGTCGGTAGTCATTTAGGCAGGTTATCTTAGTGTCCTTGGGCACGGGGACTATGGTGGTCTGCTTGAAACATTTTGGTATTACAGACTCAGTCAGGGACATGTTGAAAATATCGGTGAAGAACCTTGCCAGTTGGTCAGCACATGCTCGGAGTACACGTCCTGGTAATCCGTCTGGCCCTGTGGCCTTGTGAATGTTGACCTGCTTAAAAGTCTTATTCACATCGGCTACGGAGAGCGTGATCACATAGTCATCCGGAACAGCTGGTGCTCTCATGCATGCTTCAGTGTTGCTTGCCTCGAAGCGAGCATAGAAGTAGTTTAGCTTGTCTGGTAGGCTTCCCTTTGTAGTCTGTAATAGTTTTCAAGCCCTGCCACATCCGACGAGCGTCAGAGCCAGTGTAGTACGATTCAATCTTAGTCCTGTATTGACTCTTTGCCTGTTTGATGGTTCGTCGGAGGGCATAGCGGGATTTCTTATAAGCGTCCGGGTTAGAGTCCCGCTCCTTGAAAGCGGCAGCTCTACCCTTTAGCTCAGTGCGGATGTTGCCTGTAATCCATGGCTTCTGGTTGGGGTATGTACGTACGGTCACTGTGGGGACGACGTCATCGATGAACTTATTGATGAAGCCAGTGACTGATGTGGTGTACTCCTCAATGCTATCTGAAGAATCCCGGAACATGTTCCAGTCTGTGCTAGCAAAACAGTCCTGTAGCTTAGCATCTGCGTCATCTGACCACTTTTTTATTAACCGAGTCACTGGTGCTTCCTGCTTTAGTTTTTGCTTATAAGCAAAAATGGAGGGCGAGGGAGAGCTTTGTATGCGTCTCTGTGTGTGGAGTAAAGGTGGTCTAGAGTTTTTTTTCCTCTGGTTGCACATTTAACATGCTGGTAGAAATTAGGTAGAACGGATTTGAGTTTCCCTGCATTAAAGTCCCCGGCCACTAGGAGCGCTGCCACTGAATGAGCATTTTCGTGTTTAGTTATGGCCTTATACAGCTCATTGAGTGCGTTCTTAGTGCCAGCATCGGTTTGTGGTGGTAAATAGACGGCTATGAAAAATATAGATGAAAACTCTTGGTAGATAGTGTGGTCTACAGCTTATCATGAGATACTCTACCTCAGGCGAGCAAAACCTAGAGACTACCTTAGTATTAGATTTTGTGCACCAGCTGTTGTTTACAAATATACACAGACCGCCACCCCCTGTCTTACCGGAGTCAGCCGTTCTATCCTGCCGGTGTAGCGTATAGCCCGCTAGCTGTATGTTGTCCATGTCGTCGTTCAGCCACGACTCGGTGAAACATAAGATATTACAGTTTTTAATGTCCCGTTGGTAGGATAAGCGTAATCGTAGGTCATCTAATTTATTTTCCAATGATTGAACATTGGCTAATAGGATTGATGGAAGAGGCAGTTTACTCGCTCGCCATCGGATCCTTACGAGGCACCCCGACCTACGTCCATGATATCTCCGTCTCTTTCTCCTGCAAATGACGGGGATTTGGGCCTTGTCGAGTGTCTGTAGGATATCCTTCGCGTCCGACTCGTTGAAGAAAAAATCTTCGTCCAATACAAGGTGAGTAATCGCTGTCCTGATATCCAGAAGCTCTTTTTGGTTATAAGAGACCATGGCAGAAACATTATGTACAGAATAAATTACAAATAACGCGAAAAAACACACATCATAGTACAATTGGTTAGAGGGCTGTAAAACGGCAGCCATCTTTTCCGGCGCCAGTATTAGCATTAGTAGGGAATCTCTTGGTTGGGTGAATTTGGACGTTTCTATACAAGTCCTATTGAGAGACATATTGTCTTAGAGTACATTGACTCACAGGTTATCTCTGTAGTATTCAAATACATCTGCCATACACACACGCGCACACACACACACACACACACACACACACACACATACAAAGAGTCGACTTACCGAGTCGATGACTGACTCCATGAACTCCGGGAGGTTGGAGAGGGTGTGGCTGTCGTGGTGACTGTTGTTGTTGTTGATGTTGTTATTGTTGTTGTTGTTGTTGTTGTTGTTGTTGTTGCTGTGTGAGGACGAGGTGCTCTCTGTAGAGAGGCAGGGGGCGGTGGCCTGGTGGTGATGACCTCGGCCCTCTGAACTGGTACGAGCCCCCCAGCTGGAGAACGGAATGATCTGTGAGAGAGAGAGAGAGAGAGACAAAGAGCAAGAGAGAGAGAGATATTAATGTTTACTGTTCATTTTTGATTGTTTTTATCACTTGTTTTCAAATGACAGTCCATCATTACTTTAAGACATGAAGGTCAGTCAATACGGAACATTTCAAGAACTTTTAAAGTTTCTTCAAGCGCAGTCGCAAAAAACATCAAGCGCTATGATGAAACTGGCTCTCATGCGGACCGCCACAGGAATGGAAGACACAGCGTTAACTCTGCTGCAGAGGATAAGTTCATTAGAGTTACCAGCCTCAGATTGCAGCCCAAATAAATGCTTCACAGAGTTCAAGTCACAGACACATCTCAACCTCAACTGCTCAGAGGAGACTACGTGAATCAGGTCTTCATGGTCGGATTTCTTCATGGCCGAACCACTACTAAAGGACACACCAATAATAAGAAGAGACTTGCTTGGGCCAAGAAACACGAGCAATGGACATTAGACCGCTGGAAATCTGTCCTTTGGTCTGATGAGTCCAAATTTGAGATTTTTGGTTCCAACCACCGTGTCTTTGTGAGACGCAGAGTAGGTGAACGGATGATCTCCGCATGTGTGGTTCCCACCGTGAAGCATGGAGGAGGAGGTGTGATGGTGTGGGGGTGTTTTGCTGGTGACACTGTCAGTGATTTATTTAGAATTCAAGGCACACTTAACCAGCATGGCTACCACAGCATTCTGCAGCGATACGCCATCCCATCTGGTTTGTCCTTAGTGGGACTATCATTTGTTTTTCAACAGGACAATGACCCAACACACCTCCAGTCTGTGTAAGGGCTATTTGACCAAGAAGGACAGTGATGGAGTGCTGCATCAGATGACCTGGCCTCCACAATCCCCCGACCTCAACCAAATTGAGATGGTTTGGGATGAGTCGGACAGCAGAGTGAAGGAAAAGCAGCCAACAAGTGCTCAGCATATGTGGGAACTCCTTCAGGACTATTGGAAAAGCATTCCAGGTGAAGCTGGTTGAGAGAATGCCAAGAGTGTGCAAAGCTGTCATCAAGGCAAATGGTGGCTATTTGAAGAGTCTCAAATATAAAATATATTTTGATTTGTTTAACACTTAGTTGGTTACTACATGATTCCATATGTGTTATTTCATAGTTTTGATGTCTTCACTATTATTCTACAATATAAAAAATAGTAAAAATAAAGAAAAACCCTTGAATGAGTAGGTGTGTCCAAACTTTTGACTGGTAGTGTATATATATATATATATATATATATATATATATATATATATATATATTGTTTATTTATTTGTATTTATTTTTTATCATTATAATTTATTTTTTCAATGTACTTTACTCAAACCAGTGAATATAACTTATTATAAATGAGATAATTAACTATTAGCTCTTGGAATATCCAGGGCCTGTATTCTTCTCATTTTGGTTATAAAACAACAAATCCAGAATTTCTTAAAAACATCAAGGGACAGGACATCATAATCCTACTGGAAACATGGTGTCGTGGAGACATTGATAATCAGTGTCCCTCAGGATATAGAGAAAGGTTAATACCATCAATCAAACATAAAAAATTTAAACGGGGCCGGGACTCATTTGGCATAAGCAGCACTTAGCACTGAATGAAATGAAAAAAGGTACTAATCACATTTGGTTAAAACTTAACAAAGGTACAATCTATTGTGACAATGATGTATACATATGTGCAGCTTATGCTCCTCCTTCAGATTCATCATATTATGATGATCAGTTTTTTGACAATCTCCATAAAGAAATCCTTCAATTTCAGGCAGAGAGTAAAGTGCTTCTTTATGGAGAATGCAATGCGAGAACAGGTTCTGAGCCTGACTACACTGATGCGGGAGGTAACCACCACATATTGGGACACCCCTCCTTGTACAGTAGCCCTATTATAAATAATAGAAACAGTCCTGACCAAATACTGAACAAAAACGTGAAGGAGTTAGTGCATCTCTGTCGAGCCTTAGGCCTGTACATGCTTAATGGTAGAATCAGAGGGGACTCTTTAGGTCAGTTTACTTACTGCTCAGCTCTTGGGACAAATGTAGTCGATTATGCCATCACTGACATGGACCCCTCCTCCATTAGTGCATTCACTGTCAGACCACAGACACCATTGTCAGATCACAGTCAGATCAACGTGTTTCTGAAGAAATTAACCAGCAATACTCATTCAAAAAAACAGCCCAATAAACTCTACAGCATGAACCAATCGTACAGATGGGCTCCAAACAGTGCAGAGAAATTCATTGAAACATTGAACTCAAATAAAATGATATATACCAAAACAATAAAGAAGGTGTCAATTCGGCTACTCGAAACATCAACTGCATATTCCAAAAAGCAGCATCAAAAGCAAATTTGAGAAAACCAAAGAAATGCAACATCAGAAACAAAAAACTAAATGTTTCTGGAAAATGGTTTGATAACGAATGTAAAACAATTAGAAAACACCTAAGACAAATGTAAAATGATAAACATAAGCAGCGAAACAACCCGGAGCTACGCTATGAATACTATGAAACTCTGAAACAGTATAAACATACACTGAAACGCAAGAAATTGAATTATACCAACAAGACACTTGATGAAATTGAAAGTGCAATTGACCAAAATCAGTTCCGGAGAGAGAGAGAGAGAGAGAGAGAGAGAGAGAGAGCGAGAGAGATTCTGAAACAGTATAAACATACACTAAAACGCAAGAAATTGAAAACGCAATTGACCAAAATCAGTTCTGGGACATGTGGAACAATTTAAGCATGATAAAGCCACAAGAATTAGCCATATAAGATGAAGGAATTTGGAAAACTTATTTTGATAATCTATACAAAAACATCCCACTAAAAGACTTACAACATACCCAATTAGAAATTCAAGAAAAATCGAACATCCTTGAATCGGTCATTAAAAACAAGCAAAATCCATTAGATTACCCAATAACCCAACAAGAACTAAATGAAAAGCTCAAATCTATAAACCAAAGAAGGCTTTGGTTTATAGAACAGCACGCCTGAGTTGCAAAATGCTGTGCTTAAATTGTTCAACATGGTAGTAACTTCTGGCTGCTTTCCTGATGTCTGGAACCAGGGGCTCATCTCCCCTATCCACAGAAGTGGAGACAAATCAGACCCCAATAATTACAGGGGAATGTGCGTAAACAGCAACTTGGGAAAGGTTTTCTGTAGCATTTTGAATTCAAGAATCCAAACCTTTCTTCAAGAAAAAAATTTAATAAGTAAATGTGAAATTGGCTTTCTCCCCAACCATCGTACTACTGACCATATATCCACCTTACACACACTAATTAATAAACACGTCCACCAAAAAAAAGAGGGCAAAATCTTTGCTTGCTTTATTGACATTAAAAAATCATTCGATTCTATTTGGCATGAAGGTCTATTCTTCAAAATTATCCAAAGTGGACTTGGTGGTAAGGTGTATGACTTAATAAAATGTATGTACACTGCCCACCTTCGCTCTCTCTCTCCCGCTACTCTCTCCTCTTCCATCCTATCATCTCTTCCCTCTGCTCAATCCTTCTCCCTCCAATCTCCTGATTCTGCCTCCTCAATCCTCCTCTCCTCCCTTTCTGCATCCTTTGACTCTCTATGTCCCCTATCCTCCCGGACTGCTCGGTCCTCCCCTCCTGCTCCGTGGCTTGATGACTCACTGCGAGCTCACAGAACAGGGCTCCGGGCAGCAGAGCGGAAATGGAGGAAAACTAGACTCCCTGCGGACCTGGCATCTTTTCACTCCCTCCTCTCTACATTTTCTTCATCTGTTTCTGCTGCTAAGGCCACTTTCTACCACTCTAAATTCCAAGCATCTGCCTCTAACCCTAGGAAGCTCTTTGCCACCTACTCCTCCCTGCTGAATCCTCCTCCCCCTCCCCCCCTCCTCCCTCTCTGTGGATGACTTCGTCAACCATTTTGAAAAGAAGGTTGACGACATCCGATCATCGTTTGTTAATTCAAATGACACTGCTGGTCCTGCTCACACTGCCCTACCCTATGCTTTGACTTCTTTCTCCCGTCTCTCTCCAGATAAAATCTTGCGACTTGTGACGGCCGGCCGCACAACAACCTGCCCGCTTGACCCTATCCCCTCCTCTCTTCTCCAGACCATCTCCAGTGACCTTCTCCCTTACCTCACCTCGCTGATCAACTCATCCTTGACCGCTGGCTATGTCCCTTCCGTCATCAAGAGAGCGAGAGTTGCACCCCTTCTCAAAAAACCAACACTCGATCCCTCTGATGTCAACAACTACAGACCAGTATCCCTTCTTTCTTTTCTCTCCAAAACTCTTGAACGTGCCGTCTCTAGCCAACTCTCCTGCTATCTCTCTCAAAATGACCTTCTTGATCCAAACCAGTCAGGTTTCAAGACTGGTCATTCAACTGAGACTGCTCTTCTCTGTGTCACGGAGGCTCTCCGCACTGCTAAAGCTAACTCTCTCTCCTCTGCTCTTGTCCTTCTAGACCTGTCTGCTGCCTTTGATACTGTGAACCATCAGATCCTCCTCTCCACCCTCTCCGAGCTGGGCATCTCCGGCGCGGCTCACTCTTGTATTGCGTCCTACCTGACCGGTCGCTCCTACCAAATGGCGTGGCGAGAAGCTGTCTCCGCACCACGTGCTCTCACCACTGGTGTCCCTCAGGACTCAGTTCTAGGCCCTCTCCTATTCTCGCTATACACCAAGTCACTTGGCTCTGTCATATCCTCACATGGCCTCTCCTATCATTGCTACGCAGATGACACACAACTAATCTTCTCCTTTCCCCCTTCTGATAACCAGGTGGCGAATCGCATCTCTGCATGTCTGGCAGACATATCAGTATGGATGACGGATCACCATCTCAAGCTGAACCTTGGCAAGACGGAGCTGCTCTTCCTCCCAGGGAAGGACTGCCCATTCCATGATCTCGCCATCACGGTTGACAACTCCGTTGTGTCCTCCTCCCAGAGTGCGAAGAGCCTTGGCGTGACCCTGGACAACACCCTGTCGTTCTCCGCTAACATCAAGGCGGTGACCCGATCCTGTAGGTTCATGCTCTACAACATTCGGAGAGTACGACCCTGCCTTACACAGGAAGCGGCACAGGTCCTAATCCAGGCACTTGTCATCTCCCGTCTGGATTACTGCAACTCGCTGTTGGCTGGGCTCCCTGCCTGTGCCATTAAACCCCTACAACTCATCCAGAATGCCGCAGCCCGTCTGGTGTTCAACCTTCCCAAGTTCTCTCACGTCACCCCGCTCCTCCGCACACTCCACTGGCTTCCAGTTGAAGCTCGCATCTGCTACAAGACCATGGTGCTTGCCTACGGAGCTGTGAGGGGAACGGCACCTCCGTACCTTCAGGCTCTGATCAGTCCCTACACCCAAACGAGGGCATTGCGTTCATCCACCTCTGGCCTGCTGGCTCCCCTACCTCTGCGGAAGCACAGTTCCCGCTCAGCCCAGTCAAAACTGTCCGCTGCTCTGGCACCCCAATGGTGGAACAAGCTCCCTCACGACGCCAGGACAGCGGAGTCACTCACCACCTTCCGGAGACATTTGAAACCCCACCTCTTTAAGGAATACCTGGGATAGGATAAAGTAATCCTTCTACCCCACCCCCTTACCCATGAAGTGTTTGATCAGATTTTCAAAACACATTTGCATTGATGTCAAAGTGATTAGAGGGACAATAGAGTGCTGAGTACCAGGAAGTTAGCAAGTTTGGTAGGCTACTAATGACCAGCAGCAGCATCAGAGCTTGGAGAAGCCTAGTTACCGTGACTAAACGGTCAAGTGGAATTTGACTGCCTTCATGACTTGTGACCGCTGGTGTGGTGGTAATACGGTCACCGCAACAGCCATATCTGGCCCTAAACAGACTATAAATTGGCTGATTATCTCTACTCTGTCAGAGATACGAAACAGAGACAGATCCTTATCAAGTACAGGCTGAGTGACCATCAATTGGCAATAGAAACCGGCAGACATAAAAAGACATGGCTACCCAAAGAGGAGCGTGTATGTGGTCACTGCACAACAGGGAGGTAGAAACAGAGATGCACTTTCTCCTTTACTGCGATAAATATTCCTCACCATGACATTCATTATTTACAGAAATTACTACATTAATTCCAAATTTTAACTTATTAAACCCAGAGGAAAAACAACAAATACTCATGGGCGAAGGAGCAATGGCTCCTCTTGCAGCCAAATATGTATTTGCCTACCATAGCCTGAGGGACACTGAATAATAACATCTGCATAGTAAACAGTAACTTACTTATTAGTATTATTATTACTATTATTATTATTATTATTGTTGTGATTATTATTCTAAATAGTAGTGGTACGGGTGGTAGGGGTGATGGTAATGATAGCAGTTTAATGATGGTGGTGGTAGTAGTAGTAGTAATGATGATGGTAGTAGGGGTGATGGTAATGATAGCAGTTTAATGATGGTGGTGGTAGTAGTAGTAGTAATGATGATGGTAGTAGGGGTGATGGTAATGAGAGCAGTTTGATGATGGGTGGTGGTAGTAGTAGTAATATGATCAGTAGTGGGTGGATGGTATGATAGCAGTTTAATGATGGTGGTGGTAGTAGTAGTAGTAAGTATGATGGTAGTAGGGGTATGGTATGATAGCATTTTAATGATGTGTGGTAGTGTAGTAATGATGATGGTGTAGGGTGATGGTATGATAGCATGGTTTATGATGGTGTGGTATGTAGCAGATGATGGTAGTAGGGTGATGGTATGATAGCAGTTTAATGATGTGGTGTGTAGTAGTAGTAATGATGATGTAGTAGGGGTGAGGTAATGATACAGTTTAATGATGGTGGTGGTATTAGTAGTAGTAATATGATGTAGTAGGGTATGGTAGATACTTTATGATGGTGGTGATGTCGTAGTAGTATATGATGGTAGGAGGGTGATGGTAATGTAGCATTTTTAATGATGGTGGTGGGTGGTAGTAGTAGTGTATGATGATGGTAGAGGGGTTGATGGTACTGCTGCCGTTTTAATGATGGTGGTGTGGTGTAGTAGTATGATGATGGTATAGGGGTGATGGTCTGATGCGTTTAATGGTGGTGGTGGTAGTGTAGTAGTAGTCATTGATGATGGTGTAGGGGTGCTAGTAATGCTAGCGTTTACTGGGGTTTGGTGGTCTTGTGTAGTCATGCCTGGTGTCGGGTGCTGGTATGATAGCCAGTTTCCATGATGGTGGTGGTCAGTCGTGTCTCTGGTGGTCGTCGGGGTGCTGGTCTGATCCCCTTTTCCCATTCTGGTGGTGGTCGTCGTCGTCGTCCTTCTGCTGGTCGTCGGGTGGGTCCTGATCGCCGTTTCTGGTGGTGGTGTAGTAGTTGTGGGTCCTGATGCTGGGGTTCGTGGGTGACTGGTCTGCATCCCGTTTCTGCTGGTGGTGGTAGTCGTCGTCGTAATGCTGATGGTGTGGGGTGCTGGTCCATGATCGCATTTTATGATGGTGGTGATGGTCTGTGTAGTTCTTGTGGTGTTGGGGTGATGGTCATGTCGCGTTTCACTGATGGTGTTGGTAGTCGTCGTGTATGACTTTGGTAGTAGGGTGATGTAACTGTAGCAGTTTTATGATGGTGGTGGTGGTATGTACGTATGACTGATGGTAGTCGGGGTGTGGTAATGATCGCCGTTTCATTGGTTGGTGATGGTAGTCGTGTAGTCCTGATGCTGGTCGTAGGGTGATGGTACATGATAGCCGTTTACTCATGTGGTGGTGTAGTGTAGTAGTCTGTTTATGGTAGTATGGGTGATGGTACTGATGCCGTTTTGTGGTGTGGTGGTAGTGTAGTAGTAATGATGATGGTACGTAAGGGTGATGGTACTGATCGCCGTTTCATGATGGTGGTAGTGTCGTCGTCTGATGCTGGTCGTCGGGGTGATGGTACTGCTAGCTTTTACTGATGGTGGTGGTGTGTAGTCGTATGTATGCATGTGTAGGGTGATGGTAATGATACAGTTTCCTGCTGGTGGTGGTAGTAGTGTGGTATGATTGTGTGTGGGGGATGGTACATGATCAGTTTAATGATGGTGGTGGTGTCGTCGTACGTCCTGATGAGGTCGTAGTGGTGATGGTACTGATCCCCAGTTTACATGCTGGTGGTGGTGGTCGTCGTATTATTGTAATGTATGGTAGTAGGGTGATGGTAATGATAGCGTTTATGCATGGTGGTGTGGTGTCGTATCGTAATTGATGCTGGTCGTGGGTGATGGTAATGATAGCATTTTAAATGTGGTGGTGGTATCGTAGTAGTCATGATGATGGTAGTAGGGGTGATGGTAACTGATAGCAGTTAATGATGGTGTGGTAGTGTAGTAGTATGATGAGGTAGTAGGGGTTGATGGTAATGATAGCAGTTTTAATGATGGTGTGGTAGTAGTAGTATATGATGATGGTAGTAGGGGGTGATGGTAATGATAGCAGTTTCCATGATGGTGGTGGTAGTAGTGGTAGTAATGATGATGGTAGTTGTAGTACTGATGTAATGTGAGGATGACAGTTAGTTAGTTAGTTTCATTTTCCATGTTTAGCCTTTTGTATTTATTATATTTCTACTATTGACTGTTAACATTTTTATATTATTGTTTATTATTTTATTACAATGTCTATTGTATACATTGTTGCTTTGGCAATATTGACGCAATGTTTTCCATGCCAATAAAGAAAGTGTCAGATTGTTGGAGAGAGGTGAGAGAGAGGGAGAGAGAGGGAAAGGGAAGTTAAAGTTGGCAGGAAGATGGCTGTGGTGGTGGTAGGGGGTTGCACAAGGGGGTCACAGCACACACAGCGAGATAAGGGTGATTTCATCACTTCTGTGAAATAGACCCCCAGATGTTTCCTCCTACACACACACACACACACACACACGCTCTCTCTCTCTCACTCACAGGTGGTGCAGGCTGTCCCCTCAGCTCATTCTCTGTTGACATGAGCAGCTGCTCAATCTCCTTCACCCTCTTCTCCTTCTCTGGGTCCTCCTCAGTGTAATGTCTCTACAGGGAGAGAGGGAGAGGGGGAGAGAGAGAGGGAGAGGGGGAGAGAGACAGAGAGACAGAAGAGGAGAGAGAGAGAGAGAGAGAGAGAGAGAGAGAAGAAGGAGAGAGAGAGAGAGAAGCGAGTAGCTAGAGAGAGAAGATATGCCATACAGAGACATAGACAGATAGCACATGGGATAGAGAGAGACTAGATTTATAGGAGATAGAGTATGTGGGGTGTGGGTGGGTGGGGTTGTGGGTTCAGTTTTTTTTTTTTTATTTTTTTATATCTTTTTTTTATTCTTCTTGCTTTCTCTACTATTTTCTCTCTCTCTCTTCTTTCTCTATCTCTCTCTGCTCTCTCTCTCTCTTCTCTCTCTTTCTCTCTCTCGCTCTCTCTCTCCTCGTCTCTCCTCTCTCTCTCTCTCTCTCTCCGCTCTCTTCTCTTTTTCTCCCCTTTTTCTCTCTCTCCCTGGCTCGCTCTCGCCTTCCTTCCTCTTCTATCGATCTATCATCTCTTTTATTCTTTTGCTTCTTCTTCCCATCCCCCTGAGCTTCTGCAAGTTTTCAGTGAAATCCATGGCCACTTTTGCTTGCGCCCATCTCTGGGTCCCCCCCCGTCGGTAATGTAAGACTACCATTTTTAGATCTGCGGTAACTCTGTTACCATCCAACTTTTATTTTTGCTTCGTGCACTAACATTGAACGTGTCCAACCATCTTTCTAAATTGCACCTGAGTATTCTCACATTTTCAGTAAATGAGATCCGAAACACTTTTTTTTTCCGCGCCAAATCAAGGGGAGGGCCCCCCTGTTCTCCAATGTAATGTAAATACTACCAAAATTTTTTAAAATCTGATAGCAAGCCGATGTAACTCATTATTAATTACAATCCAATTTTAATTTTTTATCGATCGTTAGTAAACAAGTAAAAACTACAGATAATTCACATGTCATTATTTTCTAAATTGCACCTTATTATTCTAACTTATTTCTTATTATTTTACGTAATTATTAAATATAGTAAATTATTAAATCGAGCAACTAATTACAGTATTTTATTCCGCATCCTTTTACAACCTCATTTTCCCCTACGTATTTAAATCATAACATTACATGCACATTCAAATTTTTCTTAATATGTGTATCCAAGCATTGTGAGATGTTAAATATGGCTTCCATTTTTCCCATCTTCACATCACTTAAACAGACAATCATCATGAAATATGGTTGTAAGCATTTACTTAAAACTTGCACGTGTTTAACTTGCTATGTAAAAACTTCGCAGTGTTTAAACAGGCTATTAAAACGTGCAGGTTTTTAAACAGTTGTAATGTACGTGCAGGTTGTAAATACAGTTGGCTATGTAAAAACAGTCGCATTTTAAGCATTGCTATTAAAACGTCGCAAATTTTAGTTAAAGCAGTTGGCTACTGTAAAAACGTCGCACGGTGTTGTAAAGCAGTTTCGCACGGTGTTGTAAGCCATTAATTTATTTTTTGCCCCATGCAACATCGTACAAGCTCTCCTTTTCTATGTGACTTGTCAACCGATACGGTCTCTGTGCTTGAAATTCATCAGATTACAGTGTATCAATGAAATTCAGACAATGAGTAGAATATATTGTTATTTTACCCGGGTATTTCAGCAATGCATTGTACACTACCCTATAATTCCATATGGTAGCGCTTAGAGAGAATGCCAAGAGTGTGCAAAGCTGTCATCAAGGCAAAGGGTGGCTATTTGAAGAATCTCAAATATAAAATATATTTTGATTTGTATAACACTTTTTTGTTTTCTACATGATTCCATATGTGTTATTTCATAGTTTTGATGTCTTCACTATTATTCTACAATGTAGAAAATAGTAAAAAATAAAGAAAAACCCTTGAATGAGTAGGTGTTCTAAAACTTTTGACCGGTAGTGTATAACCTAAACATAACATTTACTATCCACACATACAACAATAGTAATCAAGCACCTTATAAACGCCACACACACCAAAAATGCTGTTGTTTTGATAAGTGGCAATAAATAGATATGCGCTGTTGAAACTACCACAACTCAAAAAACCACATGGAAACTGGAGATATTTTTTACATCACTGGTTAGAGGACAACCTGCAGAACACAGTCAGCTACATTTTGGAATGTTGCATTTTGATATGTGGGTCACCAAAACAGAATGAAAACGCCACACTGTTTTGTTAATCACTCATCAATTATCACTTCCCAGAATGGCGCTTGAATGGATAGCTTCCCGTTTTATGGTCTCCTGACCAATTCTGTTATTTTGTGTGATTTGTTGAGCTGATCTTAACTTTTTTTGTACATAATGTTTCCACCATTATTTCCTATGTCAAAAAGAGCTTCTGGACATCAGAACAGCGAGATTCCTACTTCAACGAGAGAGAGGAGCAGGACCTAGATCAGGACATACTGTTCACCACGGATCAGGACATACTGCTCACCACGGATCAGGACATACTGCTCACTGGACCAGGCCCTAATCCCTGAGACTCAGAAGAGAAAGAGACGGCCGACGTGGGGAAGCCTGATGAAACTACGTGGGGAAGCCTGATGAAACTACGTGGGGAAGCCTGATGAAACTACGTGGGGAAGCCTGATGAAACTACGTGGGGAAGCCTGATGAAACTACGTGGGGAAGCCTGATGAAACTACATGGGGAAGCCTGATGAAACATACGTGGGGAAGCCTGATGATACCCTCCGTTCTATTAGCAAACATACAATCACTGGAGAACAAACTGGACAAACTTTGTTAGAGACTTTCCTATCAACGGGGCCTGAAGAACTGTAATAGTTTCTCGGAGTCGTGGACATGATAACTCTCCATCTAGATGGTTTTCCTATCAGCAGGACAGAACAGTGGTTTCGGGGGTGTGTGTCTCTTTGTTTACAACAGCTGGTGCACAATTTCTAATGTTAAGGAAAAGTCTCGAGGTTCTGCTCACCTGAGTTAGAATAACTAATGATAAACTGTAGATCATACTATTTACCAAGAGAGTTTTCCGTGGATTACAGGCAACATCCGCACCGAGCTAAAGGCTAGAGCTGCCGCTTTCAAGGAGAGGGACACTAATCCGGACGCTTATAAGAAATCCCGCCACGACCTCAATACAAAAGCGTCAATACAGGACTAAGATCGAATCCTACTAAGCCAGCTTTGACGCTCGTCAGATATGGCAGGGCTTGCAAACTATCATGGAATACAAAGGGAAACCCAGCCTTGAGTTGCCCATTGACGCGAGCCTACCAGACGAGCTAAATGCCTTCTATGCTCACTTCGAGGCAAGCAACACTGAGCCAATGCATGAGAGCACCAGCTGTTCCGGACAACTGTGTGATCACATTCTTTGTAGCAGATGTGAGTAAGACCTTTAAACAGGTTAAAATTCACAAGGCTGCAGGGCCAGACGGATTACCAGGACGCGTACTCAGAGCATGCGCTGACCAGCTAGCCAGTGTCTTCATTGACATTTTCAACCTCTCCCTGACCCAGTCTGTAATACCTACATGTTTCAAGCAGACCACCATAGTCCCTGTGCCCAAGAATGCCAAGGTAACCTGTCTACAACCTGTCGGTGGTAGGCCTGATCACAGACAACGATGAGACAGCCTAGTGTGGTGCCAGGACAACAACCTCTCCCTTAACGTCAGCAAGACAAAAGATCTGATCGTGGACTACAGGAAACTGAGGGCCGAGCAGGCCCTGATTCACATCGACAAGGCTGTAGTGGAGCGGGTCGAGAGCTTCACGTTCCTCTGTGTCCACATCACTAAGGATCTATCATGGTCCACACACACCAACACAGTCATGAAGAAGGAATGACAACACCTCTTCCCTCTCAGGAGGCTGAAAAGATTTGGCATGGGCCCTCAGATCCTCAAAAAGTTGAGAGCAACTTGACTGGCTGCATTACCGCTTGGTATGGCAACTGCTTACTACCCGATCGCAAGCCGCTACAGAGGGTAGTGCGTACGGCCCAGTACATCACTGGGACCAAGCTTCCTGCCATCCAGGACCGCTATACCAGGCGGTGTCAGAGAAAGGCCAAAAATTGTCAAATACTTCAGCCACCCTAGTCATAGACTGTTCTCTCTGCTACCACACGGCAAGCGGTACCGATGCACCAAGTCTGGAACCAACAGGACCCTGAACAGCTTCTACCCCCAAACCATAAGACTGCAAAATAGTTAGTTAAATAGTTAACCAAATAGCTCTGCATTGACCCTTTTTGCATTAACTTCTTTTGACTCATCACATACTGTTTATTATCTATCCTGTTGCCTAGTTACTTTATTCCTAGTTATATGTACAGTGCCTTCAGAAAGTATTCATACCCTTAGACTTATTACACATTTTGTTGTGTTCCAGCCTGAATTCAAAATGGATACACACAATACCACATAATAACAAGGTGAAAACATGTTTTTAGAATTTTTAGCAAATTTATTGAAAATTCAAATACAGAAATATCTCATTTACATGCAGTGCATTCGGAAAGTACAGACCCCTTCACCTTTTCCACATTTTATTACGTCACAGCCTTATTCTAAAATTGATTTTTTTTTAAAACATCCTCATCAATTTACACACAATACCCCATAATGGCAAAGCGAAAACAGGTTTTTAGAAATATTTGTACATTTATCAAAATAAAAAACAGAAATACCTTATTTACAGTATTCAGACCCTTTGCTATGAGACTCGTAATTGAGCTCAGGTGAATCCTGTTTCCATTGATCATCCTTGAGATGTTTCTACAACTTTATTGGAATCCACCTGTGGTAAATTCAATTGATTGGACATGATTTGGAAAGGCACACAGTTGACAGTGCATGTCAGAGCAAAAACCAAGACATGAGGTCGAAGGAATTGTCTGTAGAGCTCAGAGACAGGATTGTGTCGAGGCACAGATTTGGGGAAGGGTACCAAAAAATGTTTGCAGCATTGAAGGTCCCCAAGAAAACAGTGGCCTCCATCATTCTTAAATGGAAGAAGTTTGGAACCACCAAGACTCTTCCTAGAGCTGGCCGCCCGGCTAAACTGAGCAATAGGGGAAGAAGGGCCTTGGTCAGGGAGGTGACCAAGAACCTGATAGTCACAGAGTGACCCGACAGAGCTCCAGAGTTCCTAGAAGGACACCCATCTCTGCAGCGCTCCACCAATCAGGGCTTTATGGTAGAGTGGCCAGACGGAAGCCACTTCTCAGTAAAAGGCACATGACAGCCCGCTATGAGTTTGCCAAAGAGCACCTTAAGGACTCAGATTATGAAAAACAAGATTCTCTGGTCTAATGAAACCAAGATTGAACTCTTTGGCCTGAATGCCAAGCGTCACATCTGCTGGAAACCTGGCACCATCTCTACGGTGAAGCATGGTGGTGGCAGCATCATGCAGTGGGAATGTTTTTCAGGGGCAGGGACTGGGAGACTAGTCAGGATCGAGGGAAAGATGAACGGAGCAACTTACAGAGAGATCCTTGATGACAACCTGCTCCAGAGTGCTCAGGACCTCAGACTGGGGCAAAGGTTCACCTTCCAACAGGACAACGACCCTAAGCACACAGCCAAGACAATGCAGGAGTGGCTTCGGGACAAGTCTCTGAATGTCCTTG